AGAATAACGGGATCTTGGAGTTAAAAGAGCAGGGACAGGTTGAACTAAGGCATATGTCTTGCAGAGGCAGACAAAAGATGGAGATGTTTAACTGTAGATATAAGCAGGAAGGGTGTACTGGTCTTTATGTGGCAGTTTATGCTTGAATTTCACTCTACAAGAAGCTGAATTGTCCTCTGTCAGGACTGGACCACACTTCATGGAAGACTTAGGTTGATGTTGCAGAATGCAGAAAACAGCACAGTCTCCCTTGGAGCTAGGGGTACTCATTCAGCATCTCAGGTAAAGTACTGGGACAAAACTGTCCTTGGCAATGTTTACTTGGAAGCAGGGATATGGTACAAGTAAGTTTCTCTTCAAATAATTGTTTGGCTCTGTATGCCATGTGTTCATACTGTATTCCTCTGCTTTTCTACCTACTCTGCTTTGGTGTGCAGAAGTGACAGTCGAGCTTTTCAGTGATGCCATGCAGATTGGTTCTTAAGTTTACAATGTTACTGTGTGCATGGAATAACTCTGCAGACACCCTGTGCAATACTTGAAAAAGAAGGAAGTGTACAAGGTTGAGGGTGCAGGATAACTGCTGTATGAATTCCAACTATAGCAGTGTGTTTTGACTTCCTGCGTCTTTCTTCATGGTAAAAGAAGATACTTCATTTCTTTAAGCACCACGGAAGAGCTGGTTCACTGCTGTTAACTTGTTCGTGTGACATTCATGCCTCCTGAGTACCACAAAACTCAAGAACCAATTATAGTCTGGAATGTATCATCTGCTCATGAGTCATCAAGTTCTAATCTACACCAGTACTGCCAGAGATAGATAGCTGTTTTACTTCTGTTTCTAAACAAATAGTGGCCCTTCTACGAGGGCTTTGAGGACAGGATCTCTCTGAATGTTAGTGAGGAGGATAGAGCAGGAGTTCCCTCAGCTTTTTCAAAAGGTAGCGCTTGATGTTCTGTCACAGATGAAGTATGGCTTCCAAGGCAGGAGTAGCCCTTGGGAAGCAGCAGTCATAATACTGTTTTCATTTGGGCTTCTGGCACTTCTTGCCAGACAGTACTTGCACTGGTGTGAAGAATGTGCAGAACCCCTGCTTCTGCAGGTTTGCTGTTGTCTACTTGCTGATATGATAGATACCTTTATCAGCTCAGAAATGGGGTGAGAACAAAGCTGTGGATTCTATCAACAGGTTGTTGTTCAAAATTGACTGAGTCCTAAACTGCTTTCATATACCTGAAGTTACAGGCACCTGAAGATTGGAGAGATCTCTGGGACTGAAAGACGGTGTAGGTAGTCTCAAGACTGGACAGAGACTGAAAAGAGGCACAACAGAAATTATAGGGAGATGGAGCTTTTGTTTTTGAGCATAGAAAAATGTGATCATGTTTGCTCAACAGCACAAGTGATTACTCCTAGTGTATCTGGAACACTGAGTCCGAAAGCAGCAGGGCAAGAAGAAATACCAAACAAATGAACCAGCTCTGGCAGGTTAGAGCAGACTAGAGGTGCCACAAGGAGGTGGATAGTAAGGAAGGATAGTCAGCTAATGTGGAAGAGTTTGTAATTGTGATGACTGTGGCCATTGCCTGGAAGACCCTGAATATTTAGATGGAGAGTTTTATCTGCTCTGAGCAGCAGTTGTGTTGTGCTGGTTATGATGTCATGCTCTCAGGAATGTTGTCCGATCAAAAAAATTTCATGCCTCAGCAGTTCAGAGGGTTGGTAATCCTGGGGAAAGCTGTCTGTCCCCTGAAGAGGTGTTCCCTGTACTGGCAACAGTGGTGTGCTTTTGTGTCTTTGTGTACATATGATGTTACTCCTCTCACTTTTGTTGAAAGTGAGGTTAAGCACCTGCTAAGGCCATGCTTAAGTGCTGCGCTTGATTTCAAATAAAAAAAAAAGCAAAGTAGGTAGGACAACTATGACTGTGCCCTCACTTGCCAAGTTAAGGGAACACCTACACAGAGAAACTTGTAAAATGAGTAAGACAGAAAAATACATGTTGGTTTACCTTGAATTCTAAAAAGCAAGCACAACTCTAAAAAGTTCACAGCAAGCTTCAAGAAAGCTGTGAACAGAAACCCATAGTAGTGCATGGAAAAAGAACCTTCCTGAATGGTTGTTTGCTAATTCCTTCAATAGCACGAAAATACTCTCACATGTGAACACTGTTAGGGTTATCCACCCTGTGTGGGGACATATGCACGCACTTGTTTTGGGAAAGTAGTAAGTAATTTTATAGAATCATAGAATGGTTAGGGTTGGAAGGGACCTCAAAGCATCTAGTTCCAACCCCCCTGCCATGGGCAGGGAAACCCTCCACTACACCAGGTTGCCCA